GCTGGTCTCGAACTCACAGAGATCCCCCTGCCACTGCCTCCCGAGTGCTGGGATTAAATGTCTTAATTATTAACCCATTTCTATTAATCCAAGTATTTCCATGTGGTCTTATCTTACTGGAGAACGCCTGGTGCTTCCTATCTTTCCGGTCTCTGCATGGCATCCCTGCTGTGTCTCTCTGCCTACCTTTCCCAGAATTCTGCTCATCTCCTACTCCTGCCTATCTTTCTGCCTCTATTGACCAAACAGTGTTTTATTCATCAACCAATAAGAGAAACATATATACGGAAGGACATCCCCCATCACCCCTCCGTGCTGGGCCTTTGTCTGGTTTGAACTTGTGTAGTTCTTGACATGTTGTGAGTTAATGTGTGTAACTGTCCTGATGTGACTAGAAACCACAGTTTCCTTATCATCCAGCCCCTCTTCCACAATCATCCCATAGCTTTGGGGATGTGTGTGGCGTTTGTTTGTTTGGTTGTTTTTTAAAGATTTTATTTATTATGTATACAACATTCTGCTTCCATGTATATCTGCACACCAGAAGAGGACACCAGATCTCAATACAGATGAGAATTCCCGTTGCTGGGAATTGAACTCAGAACCTCTGGAAGAGCAGTAGGTGCTCTTACCCTCTGAGCCATCTCTCCAGCCTGTGTGTAGTGTTTGGACTGCCCAATCCATAGTCTCTTACTCTCATAGTGTCTACAAGTTGACTAGTTGTGGGTGTCCATGTTAATCACCATCTACTGCAAAAGAAACTGCTCAGCTGAAGGCTGAGAGAGGCACTGATCTATGGATGCAACAAGACACTAGGAGTCTATATTTGTGCATGTGCTTGTCCTGGTTTTTAGTGTCCTTTGCACCTGGGTAGCTGGCTAGATAGGAACTGAGAACAGCTGAAGCATCCTGAGGAGGAGGCTGGGAAGGCCTACAGCACTTGTTACAGCAGTGTCAGGCCAGCCAGGGAGGGCCACCTGAGGTCTTTCCAACAGCACTATTGTATTGGAAGGGCTACATTTGTTGTCTAATCCATGTACAGACTGGGTATTCTGGATCATTGGTTATGCAGAGAGAGAATCGGGCACCATTGGGTTTTGTCACTACTGCAAAGCAGAGAACAATATTCTTATTCTGGAATAAAAACATCCGTACTCCTGAGCTGGCAGTGAAGCTCAGAGGTAGAACATTGCCTGACAGGTACCACAGAAACAGTAACTGCAACAGCAAAATCTGGCGGTTGTACATACACATATACATATATGTTATTTAAAATCAATTCCTTGGCCAGGTGCTAGTGGTGCACACCTTTAATCCCAGCACGTAGGAGGCAGAGGCAGGTGGATCTCTGTGAGCTCAGGGCCAGCCTGGTCTCCAGAGCGAGTTCCAGAACAGCCAAGGCAGGACTGGATTCCTTTTGTCTTCTCTTTTTGTCATCTTTATCCACAGACATGAGCGATCTACCCTATTTTGAGAACCTTGTCTGACCCTGCTGCCTTCTTTAGGTGTCATCTGGTCTCCCTCTTCCGCTCTCAGAATGTTCCTGGGAGGGTGCTCCCTAATGAAGAATGCCTTGATTTCCCCGCCCCTCCCGTTTCCTCCGGACCCCACTCTGCTTTCCGTTCCCACAAGTGCAGTTCTCTTGAAGCTTCTCACTGGTTGTTTAGAGGCTAAGGCCATTGGGTCCTCTGACTGCTCTGTAGCATTTGAAACTGTCTTGTTACTCTGTCCTCACCACAGGATGGCCTCCAAGTGTCTGTCATTTCTTTCTTTCTCAGGCTACCCTTGGCTTCTTTTACCCTACTTTCCTGTGCTCTTTTCTTTTTATACTTTGTCATCATCTCTCATGCTCCCGAGTGTGTCTGCCTCTTCATCAGACCCTTGTTTTTAACTGCATGATAGACGTGCTCCCACGCTTCCTGACTTCTCAAAAGTAGTGTCTTAACCGCAGCACTGTTCCTCAGCAGGGCATGTGCCACGACACTCTTCAGTCTTTGTGGCTGGAAACACCCAGCCTCCAGCCCTCAAGTTTTGTCTCCTCTTGAGCCAATTGAAAACTCTGAATTAGAGCCGAAGTCGCTCCAGAACCATAAAACAGACTTGAGACTGAGTCCCTTCCTTGTCAGTTTGTTGAAAGAAAATGAGGCCTGGAACAAACATTTGGTCAAAGGCCTACAGCTGATTGATGCTCGTATTCTCACCAGGAAGCTACTTCCTGCTGCTTGTCTCACCACACCAAGCAGTATCTCAGTGATGTGTGTTCTCTCGTCAAATGATGAGGCGATGCGTTTCTCAATATGGCTGTGTGCCTGCTTGAGAAGCTGCCATGGAGTTAGCACCTTATGGAACAGGTGCAATGAGATAGGCTGCCCCATCAAGTTTCCAGGGCTCAGCTCGTGCCGGGCTGTTAGAGGCACTCACAGTTACTGGCTGATTCATGATGGGCACGCTAAGGTCAGACTGTCTTCAAGCAGTGGGGACCAGAAAAGAAAGCTTAGGAGAGTTAAGGAGGTTAAAGTGCAGGGACAGCTGAAGGGAGAGGTGGGGAGGGAGGATCTCTAGGAGCGAGGGCAGAATGGATGGGTCTGAAGAATTGAGAGTAAACTAAGGATGTGGCAGGGAAAGGATCTGGTGACCAGCACAGGGGAGAAACTACAGAGCATGAAGTCAAGGGGGATTGGTGAGAAAAGATGCTGCAGCTGATGAGTGGAGCCAGGGGCTCACAACCCCCCATTATCTGAATCATCCTTTCCAGCAGAGGGTCAGAGAGCAAAGCTGGGATGCACTGAGTGTGCCTGCTCTCAGAGATGTTCTCATTCCTCAGCACCCAGATACATGTCAGGAGATAGATTGAGAAGTCTGTTTAGAAAATAAAAACATTCTTGTGGTGAGTTGAGCTCATAGTGACCTATCACTGTGCCTTTATCAAGCCATCGTATTGGGGAAACTGCACCCACCCGTCTACTTTCCTGTCTCCCTCCTGCTGAAAGAACTGAAGTTGGATTCCAGAAAATAATTTCCCAAAGCTGCCACGAGAAGCTCCTCCCAGGGAAGATCCTTCAGGAACTGTGTTCTCTTTGAGCCTCCACATCTAGAACTACTGCTAGACAATACTCATGTTCCTTGTAGCCGCCAGGTTCAGGCAGACCTTTAAATTTGCCTCCGTCCCCAACGGGTGGCAGAGGTGCCCCCATTGCCTTTGAGTCTTACTGATGTCTCAGACCTGTTAAGGGTGTTTTAGAGGCTGGGCTAATGAGATGGCTTTTCAGGTAAAGGTGCTGCTGCCAAGCCTGATGACCTGAATTCTGCTCCCCAGGACCCACAGGATAAACAGAACAGACCCCACACACAGGTTGTCCTCCCTCTACACATTCTGTACTAAGCCAGTTATTCTAACTCATTCAGCAGTGAACAAGAGACCTTGCGTCAGACAGAGTGGAAGGAGGGGACTGATGGTCTAGAGTTGTCTCTGACCTCCACACATGCTTTATGGCATGCATGCACCCTCACCCACACAAATACTTTTTGGTAACAACTAGCAAAATAATTGACTGTTGACATGAGGTCTGTAATCACAGATGAGGAGGAAGCCCCTCAATTGCTGTGAGATGCTCTCAGGGAAGATGGGGTGCTGAGTGCCAGGTCTGGTTGAGAGGCAGGACAGATCTGGAGAGCAAGAAAGAACTCAGGCACTTCCTCCAGGGAGTTTCCCAGCAAGTAAATATGCAGTCACAATGCCTTGTGATCGCTGCAGTGAGGGAGCCAGGGTGTGTTTCTGCCCTCCACTTCCTCTTTGAGAAAATGCACACATTCCTAAAAGGCCTTGGTCTTCCACCTCCTGGTCTCCACCATGCCAGACCCTCTCCCTGTAGAGTGCAACAGGATGTTTTTATTTTCAAAAATCCTATATTGGTTCTTAAAATCAGCAAGAAGGGATGTTAGGATGGTCAGCACAGAGACTTCACGTGTTGCCTGCAATGTTATTTCATGGTGGTGTTCTCACTCTTGGTCCCTCCCTGCAGGAATTGGAACAG